ATTACATTAAAAAAAAATGAACTATACAAATTCCCGGCGGTTTTAACCCCGGTAAACTAAACCATCAAAAGTAGGGGCGGTTTTGAGATAACCCCAGCTTGTTCCGGCGGTTTTTGACTCGCCCCGCTATTCCCGGCGGTTTCTACAAAACCCCCGGAAATTCCGGCGGTTTCTACAAAACCCCTGGAAATTCCGGCGGTTCCAGGGAACCCCCGCTAATACTGGCAGTTTTTTCAAAACCGCCGGTGCTTGCTTGGCGACGGACGTTTTCCCACCGGTTTTTCCAACCGCGGGAAATATGATTTGCGGGGGTTAAAACCGCCGGTAACATTTAAAATAACCGCCGGTAAAAATACAGATTTTTGTAGTGACTTCAATGTTGTAATATTAGTATTAAACCATTTTAACTAGTTTTGCATAATAATAATAATAATAATAATAATAATAATAATAATAATAATAATAAAAGAAAAAGAAAACATCATATAAATATTTTTATGCTTTTAATTGATTAATTAATATTTTAATTTGATAATTTAAAATAAGGTTTAATTGTTTGGGTGGTTCTCAAGATAATGTATCTCTTTGGTATCCGCTTTTGAAAAAGTGCCAAACTTCATTTACAATCTTCTTAATATGCATCAATTAAGTATATTTTGTTAATTATTCAGCAATGATGTGTCCCCATTTTTTAAAAAGTGTCAATTTCGTTTGAAATTGTGTTAATATGCATCAATTAAGTGTCCATTAGTCTTCTCATTGATCTCTCAATGCATTGTAGTGTCTACTTCTCCAAATCCCACCAAACTTAAACGTAATTGTCTTGACACAATTTGAAATTGGGGTTATGGTCTTCACCACCTTTGTCCAAAAAAGAAAGGGAAAGAAGGAAAAAGGATACAAACATAGTGATATTACAAAAGGTGTCTCAGATCGTCTTCTTTATCATCACGGTATAAATCTTGGTGTGCAATCCTCTGCGGTGTTCCATGGTAGCAAAAACAATATCATGAAGGTCCATCCTTTTTCGCAAAAACCACAACATCTCAATCCTGTTCGGCGTAGACGGGTGAACCCATGTCAAAGACGCAAGCGCAATTAAGGATCACTGGCAAGAAGCTCCAAAGACTCTCATTCTGCTTCGACGCCGACGTGGTGGTGGAGGAGACCCTTGCTTTTGAAAATGATAATTTTTTTTTCTAAATCCTAATCCCAAGTTCTCACGTTAGAAAACCTTATGGGTTATATGTTGCAAATGTATTTTACCACATCGCAACTATTAGAAAATCGTAGTGGAATCGCATTCTATAGTAATGATTCTTCTGTTTCTTTCAATGGCAATTTGATGAGGAGGAAATCGTAAATAAATAACATTCATTCTCCTCCAAGTATTAGAAAAGTATAGGATAAGAGAAGTATTGTAAAATAGATTAGGTTATTGTAAGATATTTGGTGTAGTTTTGACATATATCTTATATTATGATAACGTTTAAACCATACGAGAGATTTTATTATTTGAAGTTATCTTTTATAAATATTTGTATTTATATATTTTTGTATAAATTTAGGTTGTATTTTGTATTGATATATTTTTTGTACATGCTAAGTGTATAACACAGTTGATAGTTTAATTTTAGGGTAGTAGACATTTAGATAGTATAGTAATTGATAATAATAATTAAAAAGCTTGATAGATGCAGAATGAAGAATAGATATTATTAAGATAGAATATATTTTAAGTTTTAAGCCATTTAAAGCAAACAAGTTTAGTATAGTAATACTTACATGGTCCAGCTTCTTTTATGGACCAATGGCAGTGTTGTTTACATTCAAAATCCCACAATGGAACAACCAAATTATACATATGATCTTGAAGACCCCATCGAAAGGAACAGAGGAATGGTGGTTTGGAAGATGGAACATCGCCAGTATAATCCCATTGATAAGAAGTATTGGGTTGAAGAAGGTGCTGCATATGATCAATATTGTCGCAAGAAACTGTTAGGTCAGAATTTCCTTCCAAAGAACTTGTCACCTGAACATGGAGTGTCACAGACTTTGTCACCTTAACATCGACTTCCTCAGACATACCACTTTTTGCAGAGGACAAAATAACAACCATAATTAACAACCATTCTATGGATACTCTTCTGTCAAAGGAAGACATTGTTGCTTTGTTATACTCTTTGCTTCAGGGAACAATATATATATATATAATATACACTACAAAAATAGTATATTATTATAGGGGTTAAATTCTGACGGTTTTAAAAACCTCAGATAATTTCTAGTGATTTTTTTCAAAATCGCAGTTAAGTTTTTAATTATTTTTTTAAATATATTTCTCGCAGTTTTCTTCTAAACCGTCCTTAATTTTTGAATTTATTTTTTTTATAAATAAATTTCTACGTTTTTAAAGTTATATTTTTAGCGGTTTGCTAGTAAAAATATCTAAAAGAATTCCCTCAAATCCTTCTTATTATCTCATGTTTCCTCTTTCTTCTTCTCCATTTTCCATTTTGTTCTCCAGGGTCTTCACAGCTGATAATTTGCTTCTCTATTTTCAAGTTTCCATCTTGTCTGTTTCACTGTTCAGCATCGTCTTCTCTTCACTGCAGTTTTCGACTTGCACTCCTTTTTCGCGATTCGTTAGGGAGTGTGCGACGGTATCCTTCGTCGTTGGTCCCTCACCGATAAGTTATATTCTTCTGCAATTCCTAAATGCTTGACCTTTCGTTTGAACTCCGTTTTTCAACCGCTACACTATTCCGAAAATTCTAGAAATTAGAGAATCTAATACCTATTGGAATTTTGCGAAATTAGTTTTACAAATGTGGATAGAAAATAGGGTTGGATGCAAAGATTTTGTATATTAAAGCTTTCATTGTTTTGAAGTTTATGTTTGTTCTACCTTTCTCTTGCTTTATATGCATTTTCAATTTACCTATTAGAGCTTGACCATGACCTATGTTTTGTTAATTTGGTCATTTCGCATAAAGCATATTTGATTTCGCTTTAATTAAATAGGTTATGAAGTTATATGCACAATGTTGTTTCCTTTCTTAGGTTTTTGTGTCTCATAGAGTTTGTTCCTCCATTGTGCAAAAGAAGCAAAAGAAGGTACTCGTTTTTTTCACATTCTCCTAACATATTTTATAATCTTTTCCTTCAAGATAAAGAATTTGCATAAACTATAATTGGACCAATAATTAATTAATTAAATAATTAATTAAAAACGACAAAGATTAATCAGAACCCTTCATATAATTACTCCTGTTTCATGCTCAGGTTTTATGAATCATTATACAATCAACTTTCGTAGATATTTTAGTAAAAAATTGTAATGATACTAGACAGTACAAATTCTTCTCACCAAAACTAAGCATTTACCTTTTTAAGAGAGATTCCTTACTTTGTTTATTTGTCTTTATCGAAACAAAACAAATATAGGAGTGCGTTTTCACCCTATTAGTGGATTAAAGTAACGGAATAAATTAAATTAAATTAAATAAAGTATATGACAGAAGTTCTTTTGCCCCAAGGACTTAGAAGTTCTTTTTCGTATATCCATTTATTTTATTTATGATTTTGGAGTTGACTTTTATGTTAGCATTCGTCCAGTATTATCTCAGAAAATATATCACTTTCAGTAGTATTGTTTATCACCTGACGAGGTTCTATACCAAGAAAACAGCTTGAGAAGCATAAAAGAACTCCATGTGAATGGATTTGAGTTCGTCCCTGAACAATTTCATTGAGCAGCTTGTAATTTCCTTTTCTTGTAGAGTCATGTGCAATTGTGGCTCTTGTGGATCGAGGAAGCAAACACTTAGTGAATGGGAAAAACATACAGGTTGCAGAGCGAAAAGATGGAAACATAGTGTGAAAGTGAAAAGTACAATGCTACCTCTGGAAAAATGGGTATGAAGTGTTTCTTGATAGATTAGGGGGATGCCTAGTATTCTGTTGGGTGGTTTTTAATTAACAGTGATAGCATTAGTCTTGTGACATGGATTTCTTGATTACTGCCTATATCTATTTTATTTCCAGAAGTCTCCACATTCTGAGTTTGAATACTTTGTGTTTTTTAGTGTCTATTATTGTGCTCTTGTTTTGTTACCGTTCTGTACTTATTTCTTGTGGTTGACTTGACATGAATTACTTCAGTTGGCTGAACACATTCCATTAGAGGGAGTATCCCAGTAGTTAGATCAGCAGCAGGTACTTGCTTTTTTGCAAGGTAAATGTGCATTTCATGTAAACTATTACGCACTGATTGCTTGTATTTTTTTTAATTGACTGGTTCTTATTCCACATAGCATATACATGTTTTCTTTTGAATATATCTCAAGAAACAAATTTATTTTACTTATACCTTGTTGTTTCAGAGAAGTATGAGCCTGTTAATGCAAAATGGACAACAAAAAGATGTGCTGTTTGCAGATGGGTTGAAGATTTGGAAGATAACAAAATTATTATCTGTAACAGGTTTTTTTCCATTTTTTTATAATTTTTTGGGTTTTCAAATGCTTTGTTTCAAATTTCTTAGGCTTTAAAGGTAGTGATTTACACAGGTTCACTTGTTCATTGTGCAGATGCCAAATAGCAGTCCACCAAGAGTGCTGTGGGGAAAAAATGTTTAGGATTTAACTTCTTGGGTTTGTAGAGTATGTGAAACTCCCGATGTTGAGAGAGAGTGTTGCCTCTGTCTAGTAAAAGGCATGTCACATTTAGTATTTTGAAAGTCTGACCTCTTTTTTCTTGTCTATTTCCTGTGATGTTAAATTATTTATGAAAGTAGTACACGATGGATTCAGCATTCTTAAAAGGAGGTCTTTTTCATTATTATATATTGAGTTAACCTTTTAATTATTTAAAAAAAATTGTTTTACTTTGGTGGATCATCAATAATAATATTTTTCCTTTTTTGTCCATTTTCACATTGTTAAGAAATCCTCTTATAACTCTAATCCTGATACAAATGTGGTTGTAGTTGTCTAGGAATTCTAGTGTTATGAATTTGCAATTTGCACCGGCCTTGTTTTTTTTCCTCCATAAGTTTTATCCTTAATTGTCAGTGTCGTGATCAAGTGCTAATATGCTTTTACCACATTGGAAGCACTTGCTTTTCAGGTGGTGCTCTTAAGCCAACTGATGTTGAAATGTTGTGGGTTCATGTAACATGTGCTTGGTTTCGACCTCAAGTTGTTTTCCAAGAACATGTGCTTGGAATCAAGCATTTCATTTACCTTGATATTTATGAAAAGATTGCAATGTTCTATAAAAATAACCGAATTGGTTTTTTTGACTGCTTAATTGGCTTAACTGCATTCTTCTTTTTCGTGCTTCAATTGCGTTTTTCAGATATGTGGCTTCGGAATATGCCAATTCTGGCTTACTGAATGAGAAGAGTGATGGAGGTGGAGGCTTAGAGGGAGATTTCTCTTAAAGAGAAGAGTGACACTCTAGATTCAAAGTCCAATGGAAGAAGGAACCAAATGATGATGAATGAATTGAAGAAGATCTAGTCATTTTAAGTGAACATATTTCTCTTTAATGTGTATTTGAATGATGTTATTATTTATATGGAACAAGTATTAAAACATGTTTATAATTTATTTTATAAAATATTTTAGTTTCAAATTATTTTATTATATGTTTTGTTTATTATAGCATTTTTTTAATATAATCAACTAAATATTACCAAAAAAAACCAATCTGACAGCATTTCCAGCGATTTTGGAACTCCTGCAAGTTTCGGTGATTTGCAAAACCTCTGTGATTCCCGGCGGATTTTAAAATTCCTGTAATTTTCGGCGGTTTTGACTAAAACTCTTGAAAATAGCAGCAGTTTGAATCAAAACCCCCGGTAATCACTACCAACGATGCTTTTTNTTATACATATGATCTTGAAGACCCCATCGAAAGGAACAGAGGAATGGTGGTTTGGAAGATGGAACATCGCCAGTATAATCCCATTGATAAGAAGTATTGGGTTGAAGAAGGTGCTGCATATGATCAATATTGTCGCAAGAAACTGTTAGGTCAGAATTTCCTTCCAAAGAACTTGTCACCTGAACATGGAGTGTCACAGACTTTGTCACCTTAACATCGACTTCCTCAGACATACCACTTTTTGCAGAGGACAAAATAACAACCATAATTAACAACCATTCTATGGATACTCTTCTGTCAAAGGAAGACATTGTTGCTTTGTTATACTCTTTGCTTCAGGGAACAATATATATATATATATAATATACACTACAAAAATAGTATATTATTATAGGGGTTAAATTCTGACGGTTTTAAAAACCTCAGATAATTTCTAGTGATTTTTTTCAAAATCGCAGTTAAGTTTTTAATTATTTTTTTAAATATATTTCTCGCAGTTTTCTTCTAAACCGTCCTTAATTTTTGAATTTATTTTTTTTATAAATAAATTTCTACGTTTTTAAAGTTATATTTTTAGCGGTTTGCTAGTAAAAATATCTAAAAGAATTCCCTCAAATCCTTCTTATTATCTCATGTTTCCTCTTTCTTCTTCTCCATTTTCCATTTTGTTCTCCAGGGTCTTCACAGCTGATAATTTGCTTCTCTATTTTCAAGTTTCCATCTTGTCTGTTTCACTGTTCAGCATCGTCTTCTCTTCACTGCAGTTTTCGACTTGCACTCCTTTTTCGCGATTCGTTAGGGAGTGTGCGACGGTATCCTTCGTCGTTGGTCCCTCACCGATAAGTTATATTCTTCTGCAATTCCTAAATGCTTGACCTTTCGTTTGAACTCCGTTTTTCAACCGCTACACTATTCCGAAAATTCTAGAAATTAGAGAATCTAATACCTATTGGAATTTTGCGAAATTAGTTTTACAAATGTGGATAGAAAATAGGGTTGGATGCAAAGATTTTGTATATTAAAGCTTTCATTGTTTTGAAGTTTATGTTTGTTCTACCTTTCTCTTGCTTTATATGCATTTTCAATTTACCTATTAGAGCTTGACCATGACCTATGTTTTGTTAATTTGGTCATTTCGCATAAAGCATATTTGATTTCGCTTTAATTAAATAGGTTATGAAGTTATATGCACAATGTTGTTTCCTTTCTTAGGTTTTTGTGTCTCATAGAGTTTGTTCCTCCATTGTGCAAAAGAAGCAAAAGAAGGTACTCGTTTTTTTCACATTCTCCTAACATATTTTATAATCTTTTCCTTCAAGATAAAGAATTTGCATAAACTATAATTGGACCAATAATTAATTAATTAAATAATTAATTAAAAACGACAAAGATTAATCAGAACCCTTCATATAATTACTCCTGTTTCATGCTCAGGTTTTATGAATCATTATACAATCAACTTTCGTAGATATTTTAGTAAAAAATTGTAATGATACTAGACAGTACAAATTCTTCTCACCAAAACTAAGCATTTACCTTTTTAAGAGAGATTCCTTACTTTGTTTATTTGTCTTTATCGAAACAAAACAAATATAGGAGTGCGTTTTCACCCTATTAGTGGATTAAAGTAACGGAATAAATTAAATTAAATTAAATAAAGTATATGACAGAAGTTCTTTTGCCCCAAGGACTTAGAAGTTCTTTTTCGTATATCCATTTATTTTATTTATGATTTTAGAGTTGACTATTATGTTAGCATTCCTCCAGTATTATCTCAGAAAATATATCACTTTCAGTAGTATTGTTTATCACCTGAAGAGGTTCTATACCAAGAAAACAGCTTGAGAAGCATAAAAGAACTCCATGTGAATGGATTTGAGTTCGTCCCTGAACAATTTCATTGAGCAGCTTGTAATTTCCTTTTCTTGAAGAGTCATGTGCAATTGTGGCTCTTGTGGATCGAGGAAGCAAACACTTAGTGAATGGGAAAAACATACAGGTTGCAGAGCGAAAAAATGGAAACATAGTGTGAAAGTGAAAAGTACAATGCTACCTCTGGAAAAATGGGTATGAAGTGTTTCTTGATAGATTAGAGGGATGCCTAGTATTCTGTTGGGTGGTTTTTAATTAACAGTCATAGCATTAGTCCTGTGACATGGATTTCTTGATTACTGCCTATATCTATTTTATTTCCAGAAGTCTCCACATTCTGAGTTTGAATACTTTGTGTTTTTTAGTGTCTATTATTGTGCTCTTGTTTTGTTACCGTTCTGTACTTATTTCTTGTGGTTGACTTGACATGAATTACTTCAGTTGGCTGAACACATTCCACTAGAGGGAGTATCCCAGCAGTTAGATCAGCAGCAGGTACTTGCTTTTTTGCAAGGTAAATGTGCATTTCATGTAAACTATTACGCACTGATTGCTTGTATTTTTTTTAATTGACTGGTTCTTATTCCACATAGCATATACATGTTTTCTTTTGAATATATCTCAAGAAACAAATTTATTTTATTTATACCTTGTTGTCTCAGAGAAGTATGAGCCTGTTAATGCAAAATGGACAACAAAAAGATGTGCTGTTTGCAGATGGGTTGAAGATTTGGAAGATAACAAAATTATTATCTGTAACAGGTTTTTTTCCATTTTTTTATAATTTTTTGGGTTTTCAAATGCTTTGTTTCAAATTTCTTAGGCTTTAAAGGTAGTGATTTACACAGGTTCACTTGTTCATTGTGCAGATGCCAAATAGCAGTCCACCAAGAGTGCTATGGGGCAAAAAATGTTCAGGATTTAACTTCTTGGGTTTGTAGAGTATGTGAAACTCCCGATGTTGAGAGAGAGTGTTGCCTCTGACAAGTAAAAGGCATGTCACATTTAGTATTTTGAAAGTCTGAACTCTTTTTTCTTGTCTATTTCCTGTGATGTTAAATTATTTATGAAAGTAGTACACTGTGGATTCAGCATTCTTAAAAGGAGGTCTTTTTCATTATTATATATTGAGTTAACCTTTTAATTATTTAAAAAAAATTGTTTTACTTTGGTGGATCATCAATAATAATATTTTTCCTTTTTTGTCCATTTTCACATTGTTAAGAAATCCTCTTATAACTCTAATCCTGATACAAATGTGGTTGTAGTTGTCTAGGAATTCTAGTGTTATGAATTTGCAATTTGCACCGGCCTTGTTTTTTTTCCTCCATAAGTTTTATCCTTAATTGTCAGTGTCGTGATCAAGTGCTAATATGCTTTTACCACATTGGAAGCACTTGCTTTTCAGGTGGTGCTCTAAAGCCAACGGATGTTGAAATGTTGTGGGTTCATGTAACATGTGCTTGGTTTCGACCTCAAGTTGTTTTCCAAGAACATGTGCTTGGAATCAAGCATTTCATTTACCTTGATATTTATGAAAAGATTGCAATGTTCTATAAAAATAACCGAATTGGTTTTTTTGACTGCTTAATTGGCTTAACTGCATTCTTCTTTTTCGTGCTTCAATTGCGTTTTTCAGATATGTGGCTTCGGAATATGCCAATTCTGGCTTACTGAATGAGAAGAGTGATGGAGGTGGAGGCTTAGAGGGAGATTTCTCTTAAAGAGAAGAGTGACACTCTAGATTCAAAGTCCAATGGAAGAAGGAACCAAATGATGATGAATGAATTGAAGAAGATCTAGTCATTTTAAGTGAACATATTTCTCTTTAATGTGTATTTGAATGATGTTATTATTTATATGGAACAAGTATTAAAACATGTTTATAATTTATTTTATAAAATATTTTAGTTTCAAATTATTTTATTATATGTTTTGTTTATTATAGCATTTTTTTAATATAATCAACTAAATATTACCAAAAAAAACCAATCTGACAGCATTTCCAGCGATTTTGGAACTCCTGCAAGTTTCGGTGATTTGCAAAACCTCTGTGATTCCCGGCGGATTTTAAAATTCCTGTAATTTTCGGCGGTTTTGACTAAAACTCTTGAAAATAGCAGCAGTTTGAATCAAAACCCCCGGTAATCACTACCAACGATGCTTTTTCCAGAGATTTTCGTAATCGCGAAAAATGCATTTATCAAGGTTAAAAACACGACAAAAATAATCCCTGGTAAAATTAGTTTTTTTTGTAGTGATATATGACTGTGTACTTAATTAGTTTTAAAAATTTTTAATTAGGATACATTTAATAAGTATTATAATTTCTTTGTATATGTAGATGTAAATATTATAATTGTATATAGTATATAGGTATGTTAAAAAGGATGGTTAATTTCTTTAAAGGAATAATTAAATAATTAAATTATTACCTAACAACATTTAATGGAAAAAAAGTGTGGTCATATTAATAGTAAATAATAATAATTAAACAAATGAATTTGGTTTGATATTTCATTTTATTCACCAAAAAATTACAAAATCTTCAAAACCAAAATGTCAACATTGCTAAATAAATTTTCTTTACCAGACTTATATGATTTCTAATTTTCTATCATAAATGGATTCTATCATAAATGGAGATACGTAGAGACAATATCAGTCCTTGTCGGATTCACCTTATGAAAATCCTAAACAATCCATAATAATTTTCAAACAAATATTCAAACAGTACGTAATCCAGATTTTTCATTCTGAACGAGAATACATAGGAACAAGGTCAATCAATTGTCGGATCCATAAAACAAAAAAAACATTTTTGTTTCTTTATAGTATTATAATTGGGGAAAATTAAATATTTTTGAAAAAATTTGTTTAGTTAATAAATATTTTTGAAATATTGGTTTCTAGATAAATGTATTTTTTAATATGATAATAATTTGAATCAATATTATGTTAATAATTATAAGCAATATTCCTTATGATAATTAGATATAATATCTTGATATTATACTATAATTTGCTACGTTAGTTTCTTTTCAAAAGAGAAAGATATGATCCTAAAAATTGAGAAAACTTTTGACAATAATCAATGTCTTAGATATTATTTGATTTTTTTGAAATATATTGCAACAAAGACCATTTCTTTTCTCATATCTTTTATTGTTAATTAATTCACAATTAAGACAAGATTACCATAATATTACAATGTGTATATAAATACACACTATCATACAAAAAATGAAGAAAAAAATACTGAGAGACACGCATAAATAATAGGAATAAAAAGAGCGGAAAAGGGAATAAGTTCTCACATAAGAGGGGGCTTTGCAACAATAATTACTAAAAAGGAAATGGTTGGAGTATCAAAAGCTAGGAAGATATGTCACCTCCAATTTTTTTTTCTTTTGATTTGGATATTATATTGTACTCAGTTTTCTTTGACACTTAGCTATGACATTTTTCTCTAAGGGAATTATTTAACTACTCGCAAATATCTTGTTTGAAATCATAAAAAAACAAAAGTCTTCCTTAGTTTCCTTTAGTATTAGTTAGATCTCTTGCAGCGTTATACCTATTTTCAAATTTCCTTTTCTAAAATAAATAAATAAACAATTCCAAAAGGTAAAGAATATTTACATATTATTTTTTAAAAAAAAATAAATTATAAAATAAAAGATAAAGATGCTTTCACATGTATGAACAATCGTGTGATTGCCCGCATCATACTAGTACTTAATTCTTTCTCTAAATAATTAAATTTTGTTTTAAGAAAAAAATATAAGAAGTTCACTTTCTCAAAATCCAAAAGAATCCATAATAATTTTCAAACAAATATTCAAACAGTACGTAATCCAGATTTTTCATTCTGAACGAGAATACATAGGAACAAGGTCAATCAATTGTCGGATCCATAAAACAAAAAAAACATTTTTGTTTCTTTATAGTATTATAATTGGGGAAAATTAAATATTTTTGAAAAAATTTGTTTAGTTAATAAATATTTTTGAAATATTGGTTTCTAGATAAATGTATTTTTTAATATGATAATAATTTGAATCAATATTATGTTAATAATTATAAGCAATATTCCTTATGATAATTAGATATAATATCTTGATATTATACTATAATTTGCTACGTTAGTTTCTTTTCAAAAGAGAAAGATATGATCCTAAAAATTGAGAAAACTTTTGACAATAATCAATGTCTTAGATATTATTTGATTTTTTTGAAATATATTGCAACAAAGACCATTTCTTTTCTCATATCTTTTATTGTTAATTAATTCACAATTAAGACAAGATTACCATAATATTACAATGTGTATATAAATACACACTATCATACAAAAAATGAAGAAAAAAATACTGAGAGACACGCATAAATAATAGGAATAAAAAGAGCGGAAAAGGGAATAAGTTCTCACATAAGAGGGGGCTTTGCAACAATAATTACTAAAAAGGAAATGGTTGGAGTATCAAAAGCTACGAAGATATGTCACCTCCAATTGTTTTTTTCTTTTGATTTGGATATTATATTATATTATCCAAGACCATTTCTTTTCTCATATCTTTTATTGTTAATTAATTCACAATTAAGACAATATTACCATAATATTACAATGTGTATATAAATACACACTATCATACAAAAAATGAAGAAAAAAATACTGAGAGACACGCATAAATAATAGGAATAAAAAGAGCGGAAAAGGGAATAAGTTCTCACATAAGAGGGGGCTTTGCAACAATAATTACTAAAAAGGAAATGGTTGGAGTATCAAAAGCTACGAAGATATGTCACCTCCAATTGTTTTTTTCTTTTGATTTGGATATTATATTATATTATCCAAGACCATTTCTTTTCTCATATCTTTTATTGTTAATTAATTCACAATTAAGACAAAATTACCATAATATTACAATGTGTATATAAATACACACTATCATACAAAAAATGAAGAAAAAAAATACTGAGAGACACGCATAAATAATAAGAATAGAAAGAGCGGGGAGGGGAATAAGTTCTCACATAAAAGGGGACTTTGCAACAATAATTACTAAAAAAGAAATGGTTGGAGTATCAAAAGCTAGGAAGATATGTCACCTCCAATTTTTTTTTCTTTTGATTTGGATATTATATTGTACTCAGTTTTCTTTGACACTTAGCTATGACATTTTTCTCTAAGGGAATTATTTAACTACTCGCAAATATCTTGTTTGAAATCATAAAAAAACAAAAGTCTTCCTTAGTTTCCTTTAGTATTAGTTAGATCTCTTGCAGCGTTATACCTATTTTCAAATTTCCTTTTCTAAAATAAATAAATAAACAATTCCAAAAGGTAAAGAATATTTACATATTATTTTTTAAAAAAAAATAAATTATAAAATAAAAGATAAAGATGCTTTCACATGTATGAACAATCGTGTGATTGCCCGCATCATACTAGTACTTAATTCTTTCTCTAAATAATTAAATTTTGTTTTAAGAAAAAAATATAAGAAGTTCACTTTCTCAAAATCCAAAAGAATCCATAATAATTTTCAAATAGTACGTTTTGTAGAACATTCTTATTTTTTGGTTTTTCAAAATAAATTATGGGGACGATGTGACATCCCCAAAATATACGACATGCATATATAATAAAGACGTCATTCAGTTATAATATTGGAAAACAGTTAGAGACATATGGCAGACTATATGAGTTATAGTCATCCAAAATAAGATCAGATTTGGTCTCTTAACCATAGAGGACCACTGGAAATCGTCATCAGAATAGTTCTACTAATCTAGATCCTAAACATACTAAGCTGCAGCATCACCGTCTTCCAGCGCTTGCTCCACAGACACCTCCTCTTCATCTGCTCACATCCAATTGGATGATCATTGCAAAAGAAAACACATACCACAAGCACACAAACAAGCAAGGGTGAGCTAGTTTTACAAACAAGCATACTATATTAGAGTAAACAATTCATCAAATACATACATTAAGCCAAGCAAGTTAAATAATACCAAGAAACAAGTCATAAACTAGACTTGACTCGTCCGGACTTAGAATGATTACCGAGCTATAACAGGTCATGCACTCGTGGTGGCTTATGAAACTTGGGTTCCCCACCCTACCACACTCACGAGGATAGCATGTTCCGGGCCTTGAGGCATACTGGAAGCCCCCAAGACTAAGACCTCCTGCTACTCCTCACCACATGGTTCAATCCTCCCTACTTGAGAATGAAAGACCATTGGAGGGTCAGGATAACCCCCAAGATTGAGCTTCCCTGTAGATCATTCTAAACACTACTGCACCACCATGAATCTTCTCCTTGAAGATCATGGAATTACGTCAATCCACCATACTCTTAACCACATATCCTTTTTCTTTAACCATACATCACATTGTTGAATATTCTCATACATTCACATATTTCCCACATAAATCACATCATACTATGCATTCCAAGCAATTGATCCAATCAAAGATATCAAAAGAAG